GTCACAGAGCAGGTGGGGTGTCACAGAGCTGGTGGGGGTGTCACAGATCATGTGGGGTGTCACAGATCATGTGGGGTGTCACAGAGCAGGTGGGGTGTCACAGAGCTGTTGGGGGTGTCACAGAGCAGGTGGGGTGTCACAGAGCAAGGTGGGGTGTCACAGAGTAGGTGGAGTGTCACAGACAGTGGGATGTCACAGCGTAGGTGGGGGTGTTACAGAGCAGGTGGTGTGTCAGAGACAGTGGGATGTCAAAGTGTAAGTGGGGTGTCACACAGCAGGTGGGGTGTCACAGACAGTGGCATGTCACAGAGTAGGTGGGGGTGTCAGAGAGCAGGCGGAGTTGTCACAGCAGGTGGGGCTGGGTCAGGAAGCAGAGACCAGGGCCTGGAAACACGCAGCGTCACTGATGGCGTGGAAGCTGTGTGAGAGCCTAAGGTGGCCAGGATCCACTGGAGGAGTTGGGAGTGGGGTGGGGTTGGGGTCAGAAGTGTCCCCAGACATTGTGGGGACTCGAGTCTCGGGTGAGTCTCCTGCAGCTGGAGGTGGGAGAGCTGGCCTTCCCCAGGAATGTCCCAGGGGTACAAAACCCTCCCTGGCATCCCAGAGGGACTGTTCACCCCTCGGCTTCCTGGCCGGTGGTCGCAGCACTGAATGCTGGGCCGGCAGGCGGGCCAGGCGTGCGGCTGTCCTGGTAGGTGTGACTGCCTCTGGGAAGAGGGGCTCGGAGCGGGGCCAGGCCAGCCGTCCAGGAGGCCCGCTTGCAGCCCTGTGGGCTCTGCCCAGCACAGTCATTTCCTGTGACCTCGGCCCCACTCAGCCTTGGTAGAGCGAGTGGCTCTGTAGAGAGGGGTCTGGGAGCGCCACTATGTTGGGGGCTGGGTTTGCAACTGTGCTTCCCCAGAGGGTGTTCAGGGATTGGGAAGGGGGAGGGCGGGAGCCCCTGTCCTCCCTGCAGGACCAGCCCCACACAGGCATCCCCTCTAGGGATGGCCCGGGCCCCGCGCACTCCCAGGGCTGAGGCCCCCGGGAGGATGAAGACAGTGCCCCAGCCCCAGAGGTGGGGGCCCGGGCTCCCTGGGGTCTGCCGCCGCCGTGCACTCCTCCCCTTTTTCTGCCTGTGACGGGCACAGCCCGTGTCCCCGCGTGAGACACGGATGCTCGTGAGAGCTGGGCTGAGGGCCCCTGGGGCTCTGGCGGGCGGGGGCCCACTCACCTGTCCTCCTGCCGCAGACTGATCCCGCCGCTGAACCAGTTAGAGCTGCTTCGGAACCTCAAGAGCAAATCTGGACTCACCTTCAGGTGAGCGGGGGCGCCTGGGCTGGCACTCGGGGCACGGCGTCTCGGGGCCTGGCAAGGGGCTGGCAGCAGCAGGATGCTGGTGGTCGGGCTGCCGTGGGACCCGGTGACGCCGGTGGCTTTCCGCTTTTGCTGACCCCGGTCTCGGCTCCCATCCTGAGGGCGGCCGGGTGCGGGGTGGGCACAGAGAGGGGAGCTCCACGTGGGGTCAGGAGGCTGGTGCTCTGGCCTGAGGCGGGAAGAAGAGTCCAGCCGTGCACGTCCCTGGAGCGTCGGGTGGACACACGCGGCGGCACCTGCTGGCTCTCCCAGTCACAAACCCCGCGACTCCTCGAGTGCTTGATGCGCGAGGGGGGTGCGGAGGAGATGGGCTGGGCTGCAGGAGAGGGGAAGGGAGGGTGCCATGACCAGGCCTGTTTGCCGACAAGGAAGGGCTCTCGGTGGGCGGAGCGGCCGAGTGGGTTGAATGGTGCCCCCCCACCTGCCCCGCAAAGACACATCCATGCCCTGGAACTGTGAACGTGACCTTATCTGGAAAAAGCCTTCGTGGGGGTGATTGAGTGAAGGACCTCAGCCGTCCTGAGCGTCCATTGTGGAGGAGCTTCCTCCACACTTCCTCTCTGAAAGTTTGTTAATGTTGGTGATTCTGATGAAAGCGCGTGTCCATAAACACGGGGCGGTAGCGACCGCAGCCTCAGAACTTCTCGTGACCCCTTCCGGATTCCCTGTCCCCTGGGACCCGCCTCCTCCGGCCCCTCACACGCAGCCCCCGGCCTGTGGGAGCTTGGGGGGGTCCTCTGGGCTGTGCACGGGGTCGGCCCGGAGGGCTGCCCGCGAGCAGGCTTGTGCTTCTGTTTGCAGGAAGGAGCCCCAGCCGGAACCATCCCCAAGGTCAGTGCCACCTGCTCCCGCTGCCTCGGCGCCTGCCCTGTGTCCTCGGGGGGCGCGGGCTGCCTCCGGGCTGTGCATGCGCCTGCGTGCTGCTGAGGGTGGCGCCCTGCCTGCTGGTGATGTGGGCCCTTAAATCACGCTTCCCGTGGCCACGCCCCTCCCCAGGCCCCGGGCCTGCTCAGCAGCTGAGGGGCAGCTCCTGCCCTCCTGTGACTGTAGCCCCGCGGACTGGACGCGGGGGGCTTCCGGGGGAGCAGTCCTACCAGCTCCAGCACAGGGCCTGGGCTGTTCTGAGCCGAGGGCGACCCAGGTGGACACTCCCACGGGGTGTCCCCCCGACACTGCAGGTCAGGGTCAGACGGCGGGAGGAGGGGCAGCTCTGAGGAGGGGTCTTCGCATCACCCCGGTCAGGTCTCGGTTTGTGGAAGGTTCTCGAGGAGTGGGAGAGGGTCCCCTTCGGGGCAGGGTCTCCTGCCCTGCTTCGCAAGCCCTCGGTGGGGACCGGTCTCCCCCTCCCTGGGTCTGTCCAGGCCCCTGCGGTTCTGTTTGCTTTAGGCGAGCTCGAGGCTGGGACCCCAGATGGGGACTCGCAGGGATCATTTCTGCTGGAGGCAGAGGAGGGATGGCAGCACCCTGCTGTTTTCCTAGTGTTGGAAAAAAAAACCCAGACCAGTTCACAACGTTCAAGTTGGTGACCTCCAGCCCGTCCGCGTATCGCTGTGTACCTCTGAGCTCAGGGTCCCCCGGCGCCCCGTCTACACCTGCAGAGGGAGCCCTGTCCCCGAGGCCGTGGGCCAGAGACGCTGCCTGCCCACATTAGTGCCCTCCTGGATCAAAGGCGGCTCAGCTGGCTGCCCAGCTGGGGAGGCGTTGGGCTGAGCCCACCCTCGGCATCCATCGGAAGGGGGCACGTGTCCCCACCCCCACGTCCCCAAAGGGGGCTGTCAGCTGGGGCCTGGGGTTGGAAAGGTCGGCAGCGCTTCTGCACCGAAGCAGCCCAAAGAGCAGCAGTGGTGAACCCCTCAGACCTGGACCAGAGCGGGTTCAGCCCAGGCAGCGACCTCTGTTTTCCTGGGCAGGCTGGGAGCGAGGGGGCCCGACGCAGGGCTGTGGTCAGGGCGGGCGGGGAGGGGCGTGCAGCAGGGCCTCGCGTGCTTTGTGGGATCCCGTCGGTGCTGCCATCTGCCCCTTCCGTGAGCCCCGGGACCCTGAGGCCGGGGAGGCGGCGCGGCTGCCCGTGGCTCGGCCGGGGTGGGCGCCTCTCTGGCCCTCGGCGCGGCCCGCCCACCCGTCCGGCCCCTCCGGCCTGACGCGGCTTCCTGTGCTCGTCGCCCTGCTTTATCTCCTCTCCCGACAATTTTCGTCTCAGCCTCTCTCTCTCTCTCTCTCCTCTCCTGCCCTCCCTCCCCCAATCTGGAAAATCTTGCCTGCCCCCCAAGTGCCTTTAATCATGTCACTGCCCTTCTCGGGCCCCTTTCACGTCTGCTCTGTCTTTGGGGATGAGGTGCTGACCCTGAAAGCAGGACTCAAGGTGAGGATACGCGGGAGCCCCCCGGCTCTCCGGCACGTTCTGTGGCTCCCCCCGCCCCCCCGCTTCCTGCTCCTCCCTCCCTCCCCTCGTGTCCGTGTGTCCCTGCCTGTGACCCAGCGGCTTCCCCTGGGGGCCCCGGGCCGAGGCCCTGGGACAGAGGCCCTGCCCCTCCTGGATGCACACCGGTCAGCCAGGAAACAGGTGGCGTTTCTGTTCCCTGACTGGAGCAGCCGTGAGCCCCTTTGTAGCGCCCAGTGCATAGTAGGTCTGCAGGAAATGAGCCTGCCACGGGACCCACGGCAGGGTGGGCCTGGCCCTGGGCTGCCTGGTGAGGGGACCCTGTCCCGTGAAGCACAGGTGGACGGGGTGGACGCAGGGACCCTCCCTCAGCTGCCGTGAGAGCCCCGGTCCTGGCTCAGGATGGGGGCGCGCCCCGTGGCTGTGTGGGCGTCAGACCAAGGTGTGGGGCTGGGGGCGGGGCAGGCGGGGGTCTCAGGCTGTGCTGCTCTGGGTGTGGCTCTGACCTGCCCTTTGACCCACCCCATTTCTGACTGCCCCCGCCCCTCCCATGCCTGGGGGAGCCCCTGTGCCCCAGCCGCTTTGCCCCTGTCCTGTGGCTCCCCTCTTCGTCGCGGGGGGCAGTGTGCCGTGTTCGGGTGCGTGTCTGTCCAGTCTGGTCTTGGTGAGTGTCCGTGGGCGCCTCTTCCACCCTCTCGAGCCCGGGCCCCCGGGCTTGCCTGCCGGCAGTTCTGATGGGGTGAAGCTCCACTTGGCTGCTGTGGGCAGGAAACCCCAGCGCCAGCCTGGAACCCAGAGGCAACGGGCTGGAGTTGGGGCTCTCGCCCCCCCGAAGCAGAGGAGCAGTGCTGGGGGGGGCCAGGCCACCAGCAGCCCACCTCCCCCTGCTCCGTCCCACTCTCAGGCCGCGCTGTCTCATGCCGGAGCCGCTGGCCGCGTGAGGCTGTTTAAGTTTTCGTTACAATTAAAGACAGTCACTGCGGTTAGAGCCTCTCCCGGTCTCGTGCGCTTGGGAGCCAGGCGTGGGCGGTCACCTAGGAAACGGTGGGTTCGGCGGTGCTGGGCTGTGGGCGGGCGAGCGCAGCGAAGCTGGTCAAGGTGGGGGCTTGGAAGACCCCGCCCCGCTTGGTCCTCTTTCCCTGGGGAGGAGCCTCCGGGTGGGGCGGGGCGGGGCGGGCCTGGGGACCCCTGGGGGGAGCTGGCCATGGGGATCCGGTCTTTAGGCTCCTTATCTGTCCTGCAGGCCCTGGTGGGGCTGTGGCTGCCTCGGGGGTGCACTCTGGAAGAGAACGTTTGCCCTACATTTGAGGGGCTCCTGCTGGCGGGGGGTCCAAGTCCTGGGGAGGTCTGCCCCCATGTGGGTGCGCTCGGTGGACAGCTGGACCCCAGCTCCCTCCACCCGGGGCCGACCTCTAGTTAGTTTTGTTCTACAACCCGAAGTGACTGGGGAAGGTCCCACTGGGGAAGCACGCACGCTCGCAGGGGACTGCGTGCAGGGCGAGGCCGGGGCGGCCGAGCGAGGGCTCCTTGAGGAGACTTGACCTTGGCTTGCTGGCGTCAGTGGGGAGATCCTTGTCTGGACGCTGGCAGGTGCCGTCGGTGTTTACGTGAACGTGGGGACACTGAACACGTTTGTGAGTCGAGACCGCTGGCCGCGTCTGGGTTCGTCAGGCACAGAGTTTGAGAACCGCGGTCTCAGAAGCAAAGGTGGGGGCAGAGAGCGAGGCCCCGGGGAAGTGAAGGGTTTCCTGAAGTTCTTGCTGGTTCTTCTCATTTTTGATTACAAGTTTTCAGGTTCTAGTGCAGAGCTGAGTCTTGGGCCTTTGGGGAGGTTCTTGGGCAGGGTGACCACGGGCAGCGTCTCCTGAAGGGCCGCTCGCAGGTCCGTCTCTGCCCTCAGCACGGGGTGGACTTCACCCAAGGCCCGACCTTGGCGGCCCTTTCAAGTCCAGGAGCCCCAAGCCCCCTTCTCCTTAGCTCCCCTCCAGGGAGGGGCAGCCACTGCCTTCTGGGTAAACCGAGGCCACTTCTGATCGGGCCGCTGGCTGGGTTGGTTTGTGAAGCCGAACTTGCACGTTTTTCCTCTGAAACGTGAGCTTTCTGGAATCCTGTCCCTCTAGAACCAGCACAGCCTCAGCCCATGTATTATTTTTGTTGTTGGCATGAATATAGCAAAAAAAAAAAAAAAATACATCTTTTGAAAGACGTGGCCCCAAACTGACGCTGGAAGGAAAAGGTATTTTTGGAGGAAAAAAAACGGGATATTTTTTTTTTTCTCTCCAAAAATAGGGACTACTTTTTTTCCAGGCCGACGGAGGACTTTATGCGCGGCTCCCTCGTTCTCCTCGCTCAGACGCGAACTCTGTAGCGGGTGCGGCTTGAGCACAGAGCCGCCCCGGGTGGTTGGTGCCTCGTGTCCCTGCGCCTCCTGCCCGCGCGCCCGGCCCAGGCTCCCTCTGGTCGCGTTGGGTCGCCGGCGCCCCCGGGACTAACTGTCCTCTCCTCATTTCCAGTAAAGGCAGACGGTGCACAGAGTCCCTGTGTGGATGCTGCCCAGGACACGCTAGGTACCTCAGACACGTCGCTCGGACGACCATTGCTGCACGGCTCTTGTCCCCCTCCCGCTCCAAGCACTTTGCTTATTAGAGGTTCTAGATGCGCCAGGGAGAGGCTGCCGCCCGCCCGGCCCCCCAGGCCCCGATTCTGATTGGCAGCTCGCCTCCCGGCCCCTTGGTGGAGCCCTAGGCCCCCTCTGGCTCCAGACGACCAACCGCCTGGGTGACGGTGGCCATGGAGCTGTAACCCCTTTCCTTCTCCCCATGCCAAACGATGCCGTGCTCCAAGCAGGAGGGGGGCCGGCCAGGGGCTCTGAAAACCAGAAGGGCGCCTTCAGGGGCCTGACCGCTCTCCCGCGAGCCTTTTTCCACGGCTCGTCCATCTAGCACCTCTACTACGCACGGGAGGGCCGCTGCCCTCAACCCGGAGCCCGCCCGCCCGCCCGCCGGGAGGCAGCTCTGTCGTGTGTGTGCCCGCTCCCCGCGGTCCTGGCACACCAGACACATCGGAAAGCCAGAGGTCCATGGCTCCCCCTCCCACGTGCAGGCCTGGTTTAGGGCAGGCTGGAAACGGGTCGGTGAAAGGCCGCCCGATCTCTGCCCCGTGGGCTCCCTGACTGCCGGCACGTTTCCTCTCTCTGTCCCCTCTCTGCTCTCGGGGGTGTGGAAGCGTCTGTCCTCTTGCTTGCTCTGGGGCCCCCTCCTGCCCGCCCCTCCCTGCCCCGTGCGGCCCTGCAGGTGCTGGCAGCTGCACTCACCGGTCATCGTGTGCATGTGGTCCGTGATGGCCCCGGAAGCAGGGGTGCCGAGCGGCGGGCGTGGGGAGGGGCCGGGCAGCAGGGTCGGGGCTCCAGGGCGGCGGCATGCTTGAACATCTGCATCCGTGCATGCTCTGAACCCTTCTCGCCCTCGAGAGGGGCCCGGAGGGTCGCCTGCCCCACCTGCCCGTGCTGCCTGTGTGTTCCCGACGTAAGGCCCCGTGGGGGAGGCTCTTGCGGCCCCGGGAGGGGAGATGTGGGGCCCCGGCAGAAGCCGTCCTGCTTGCCCAGAGCTGGCGTCCAGGGTGCTTCTGGCCACAGGCTGGCCGGTCGGGTCGGGGGCCGTGATCAGGCTGCCCGGGAACCGGAAAGGCCAGAGGTGCCCGTGGCCGGGCCAGGAGCCCAGGCCTCACTTGGCCCTGCCGTGTGCGTCTCACGGACGTCACTTCGTCCCCGCCCCCCCGCCTTCCCTGGGCGTCCGCAGTCCAGCGGTGGGCCAGGCGGCTCTCTCTGGACGCCGGCTCCTTCCCCGCTGAGCTGGGCCCCGGCCGGCCGTGCAGACCAGGGTGCAGCCGCGCTCAGCCGGGGCCCCCGCTCGCCTGTCCCCGTTGATGGCTGGTGTCACTTGTTGGGAATTTGCCCTGGGGAGGGTAGCAGGCAGGGGAGGAGAGGCTGGGCCTCGCTTTCTCCCCAGACCCTCCTGAGCTTGGCCCTGGCCCCGTGTCAATGCCCCTCACTTGGAAGGTGGGCTGGCCCGTGCTCTTTCCTGGGGGCGGGCTGCCGGAGCCCCGTCCCGCGCATGCTTCTGTCCTTGGCTTGTGAGGTGACGGAGGGTCTCTCTCGACACCTGCAGGACCGTCGGCGTTCGGGCACCTGGAGTTGAGGCGGGCCTGGGGTGGCTGGGGGCCGCGTGCCTGTGAGCCCTGAGCTGTGATGAGCGTGGAGGTCCAGACAGCCACCCGTGGCCTCCTCCAGCAGGGCACCCCTCCCCGGTCTGAGCAGTCTGAGAGCCAGGGACGGCAGGGCCAGGCCAAGGCCAGGGAAGGCTCCTTCCTGGGGCTCTGTCATCGCGGTCCGCTGCGTGGGCCCAAGTTCTGGGGGCCCCAGCAGTCCTGGCTTGGTGGGGCCCTTGTTTCACGGTCTCCCTGGACCAGCTGGTGGTCTCCTTCGGGAGCAAAGGGAGGAGAGGGTTATCTTCACAGCAGCCTCCACAGCCTGGCTCTGCTACCTGTCGGTCCCCCCCGTCTGGGCCTCGTGCCGGGCACAGCAGTCACAGGCTGGCGGACCCCCGGCTCCTGTGTTCACGGGGTCTCTGAAGGAGCCACCCCGCTGAGTGGGCTCCACGCCTCGGGCCTGAGAACCAGCACAGATGGTCTTGGCTGCCTGGGGGCTGGTGGGCAGGGGCAGGGGCACCGGCCTGGACCGCAGTGTGCGGGCTGGCCGGACCAGGCCACGGGCTGCTTCTTGTCCACGGTGGGTCATTTCTGCGCCGTCTAACGACATGTCTCTGCTGTGGGTCCCCTTCGGGCCGATGGAAGCAGCTGACCCGGGCCATCTGCGGTGGGGCTGGCGCTGTCTGAGGGATTAGCTGGTGGTGGGAGCTTCCCAGCGACAGCAGAGGCCCTGCCAGACACCCACGCGGGCTGGTCCCAGGCGCCAGGGCGGCGCAGAGGCCCCTCGGGAGGTTCTGAGTGTGGCCCCTGAGTGTGGTGGCGTGAGTGGGCTCATGGGGGCCTCACTCTCCTCCTGGGCAGATGGTGGAAACTGTCCACGGGAGGAAATGAGTGGCCGCCTGGCCCCGGGCCTGACTGCACCCTGACCAGAGACCGCCCTTGTCTCCTGCCTGCTGCCTGGAGGGTGTTAGAACCAACAAACGTGGGGTGTCAGACCCGTCTCCATGGTTACCAAGAGACGGGGCAACGAGGCCCAAAGACCCTCATGGGGCTGTGGCTGTACGGCCATGGTTGCCCCCTGTCTGTGGCCTCGGGCCAGGGCTTGGCCGGCACCCGTAGCATCCCTCTGGAAGTGTGGACGTTCCGTTCCTGGCCGTGTCCTGGCGGGGGGTGCAGCCTGTGCGCCCTGGGTGGAGATGAGGTGGGCAGACCCTGGCCCTCGTGCTGCTCTCCGTGCTCCCCGCCCCCCGACCTGTTTCGCCAGGCAGCTCCCTGGGGTTCGGCCGAGGGGCCCGGGGGCCAGCTGCAGCCCTCACCCTCCTGACCTGGGGCGGTTACGGGGGTGGAGGGCAGGCACGGTAGCTGCTGGAGTGGCCGGGGGCCCTCAGGAGGTGCCCAGGGAAGAGCCGTCATCGCCCAGGGCGTTTGAAGAGGGAGCCCTGGTTGACGGTGTGGCGAGGTCTCAGGCACCTTTTGGTGGTAGCTGAAGGTGATTTCAGAGTCCACTGACCACTCACCGGCCAGACTGAGTGCTGAGCGGGCCCCGGAGAGCCTGTGGTGGAGCTGACCTGTCCCCGCTAGCCCTAGCGACCCTCCCGCCCCGGCCCGTGCTCCATCCCACGGCCAGGACACCCCGTCCTCCCACCAGGAGCCAGCGGGAGCGAGTGTTCTTTGCAGAGTGACCTCTCTTGCTGTCTTTCTGTGTGTCTGTCCGTCTGTCGGTTCTCGCGGGAGCAGTCAGAAGGTCAGTTTGAAAGACCGTGTCTTCTCCAGCCCCCGCGGCGTGGCTGCCAAGGGCAAGGGGTCCCCTCAGGCCCAGACCGTCCGGCGGTCGCCCAGCGCCGACCAGAGCCTGGAGGACAGCCCAAGCAAGGTGCCCAAGAGCTGGAGCTTCGGGGAGCGCGGCCGCGCGCGGCAGGCCTTCCGCGCCAGGGGCGCCGCTTCCCGGCAGAACTCGGAAGGTGGGTCGGGCAGCCCTCGAGTTGGGGTTTGCTGTCCTGGAGCTCCATGCGATGGGGCCACATGGGCTTGTCCTCTTGCGTCGGGCTCTGCTCCCCGAGCTCCGTGTTTGCCAGGCCCACCCGTGGAGCTGGTGCCGGCGCATCACTGCTTTTACGGCTGACGCTCCCCGAGTACTCTGTGTGGACGTATCCCACCTTGCCCTTCTGTCTGTGCACAGGGGTGCCCTCTTACACCCTTGTGGTGGTTGCTCCCTGAGGAGCACAGTGGAGGGAAGCAGGCTGGAAAAGCAGGACGGGGGCGGGCTGGAGTGTGGCTGTGCCCGGCGGAGGCCCCCTCGGACACGTGTGCGCTGTGGGGCCGGAACACTAGGCCCCCTCCATCCCGGGGGTGGCCCAGCCCCTCACGGGTTGTGTCCTTCCACCCAGAAGCAAGTCTCCCAGGGGAGGACATTGTGGACGACAACAAGAGCTGCAACTGCGAGTTTGTGACGGAGGATCTGACCCCAGGCCTCAAAGTCAGCATCAGGGCCGTGTGGTGAGGACCCGGCGGGCTCCCTCGCAGAGTCGTCCACGGACGCGGGGCCTTGGGGGGCTGGTGTGAGGGCACGCGCTCGGGAGGGATGCCTCGCGGCCGACACCCCTTCAGTCTGGCCCCCGCGGCTCACGAGGCACCTGCCGTCCCAGCCATCGCCTGCGTCCCAGGTGCCGGGTGCCCAAGGCTGCTAGTAGACGGCTGGGAGCTGCCACGGCACAGGGGTTTCTGGGTGGACACGGGTCCTCTGCGCAGCGGGGCCCAAGTGTGGCTGGGGTACGAGACAGGTGGGTGGCCCAGATGACAGGGCCAAGTCATCCAGCAGACATTCTCGGAGGTGCTGGGCGGGCCAGGGCAGGTGGACGCTGGGGGGCTGCCTTCGGTGGTCTGTGCCCAGGGCTCACAGCCTGCCGACCACCCCCTCCAGTGTCATGCGGTTCCTGGTGTCCAAGCGCAAGTTCAAGGAGAGCCTACGGCCCTACGACGTGATGGACGTGATTGAGCAGTACTCGGCCGGCCACCTGGACATGCTATCCCGCATCAAAAACCTGCAGTCCAGGCAAGAGCACCTCCCCCGCCTGCTGGTCCCGGGGGGCTGGGGCGGGTCCTCCGGGCCGAAGAAGCCGGGTGGGGGTAGGGACGGGGCGTGGCGCAGGCAAGAGCACCTCCCCCGCCTGCCTGGGCCGGGGGCGTGGGGCGGGTCCTCCGGGCCGAAGCCGGGTGGGGGGTAGGGAGGCAAGAGCACCTCCCCCGCCTGCTGGGCCCGGGGGCGTGGAGCGGGGTCCTCCGGGCCAAAGCCGGGTGGGGGGTAGGGAGGCAAGAGCACCTCCCCCGCCTGCTGGGCCCGGGGGCGTGGAGCGGGGTCCTCCGGGCCAAAGCCGGGTGGGGTAGGGACAGGGGCGTGGTGCAGCTGCACACTCCTGCCAGAGGTGGGGCGGCAACGCGCTGTGGGCGCAGCGGCTGGCCCCGCTAGCTGCCACATCTGGGCCCTTCCTCTCCGGCCCCGCGTGGGCTTTCTCCCATGTCCTCGTGTGGTCTGTTTTTAACCTTTCTGTTGTCTCTCTCTTCTCTCCTGCCCGTGCTGCGATGGGCAAGCGTGTATGTGTTGTGCGCACACACGGGCGTGCATATGCACATGCGTGAATGCACGTGTGTGCTTGCACGTGTTCAGGCCTCGGGTGCACGTGTGTGTACACATGTGTATGTGTACAAGTGCATGCATGTGCATGTGTGCACAGGGGTGCAACACATGTTTTGGCAAACGTGTGGGTGCGCGCATGTGTCTGTGTGTGCTGTGCCACGTGTGTCGTGTGTCCACGCACGTATGTTGCCCATGTGTGCCCGTGTGTGTTGGGGAGAGGAGTTAGTTCTGTTGAGAGGTGAAGGTGCAGGTTTCCGTGGGCCCATCAGGCAGCAGTTAGGCCACGTGGCACCTGTTCCTCCAGACAGAGGGCTGGTCGTCCCTCCCCACCGCACAGACGGATTCCCACGGCCGGAGCAGGCGGTGGGGCTGGACATGTGCCTGGTGGGCCGCAGCCGGGCACACGCTGGCGCTGCCATCTCTGGCTGCATGTGAGCACTGGCTTGCTCACCCCAGGAGTCAGCTGTACACACGTGTGTACAGACACAGCAAGGACCCAGGACATGCACACACACAGACCCATGTCCACTCCCACATGCCCACGTGTGCCAGCACACGTGTGTACACACATAGCCATGCTCTAAGCCTTGTGCTCACACGTGTGTCCTATAGGACCGACACACGCACACCAAGTACGTGTGTGCTCGTAGGCACGCACCATACACACAGACGAGCGGGCGCACACACGTGTGTCTGGTGCCTGGGAGGAGGCCCGTGGCTGTCGTGGGTCTCTCCTGGAATGGACCCTGCCTTCCTGCCGGTCAGGCCCCTCCTGGGGTCCCTCCAATGAGGCGGCTGCCGGTTCTCTGGCCCTGAAGCCTAGGCCCTGGCCGTGGGGGTCTGGGTGGTTGGGGCGGTCCTGGGGGTCAGCCCAGATCCCAGCCCCATGGCAGGTGGCGTCTCCCCGCCCTGCTCAGGATACCAGGGGAGAGGCCCCTCTGGGCCTCCGGCTGCTCCCGTGGGGTGAGGCCAGGGCACAGCCCCTCCCTGTCCCCAGGCTCAGGCCGGGAGGCCATCTGCTCAGCGGCCTCCTTGAGCACGAGTAGACCTGTGTGTTTGTGCGAACGCGCGTGCAGTTGTGCACGTGTAAATGATGTGCGAGAGCGTGCACGTGTATACCTGAGTAAGTACACGTGTGCCCGTGCGTGCAGACTCGAGGGTGTGTACACGTGTGCCCTGCATGCAGACTCGAGGGTGTGTACACGTGTGCCCTGCGTGCAGACTCGAGGGTGTGTACACGTGTGCCCGTGCGTGCAGACTCGAGGGTGTGTACATGTGTGCAAGCGTGCGTGTGTGTGCAGGTGTGAGCACACGCGTGTGCGTGAGAGGCCACCCTGGGTCTTGACGGCCGGCCCGCCGCCACTCACGATAGCAGTGTTTTTCACGAGGCTCTTCTGTCCTAGGCCGTCCCCTCTCCCTCCCCTTCTGTCTGGAAAACAGACGAGACAAACAGAGCCCCGCAGGAACCAGATGTCTGTCGCTTCCTGGCAGGGCCTTGGTGTCTTTCCCGGGGTCCTTTGGCACTTTGCTGCCAGCTGCCACGTGTCCTTGGACGTGCACCCTTGCCTGGGCAGACGGGGCACCGCGAGCTCGTGGCCTCACCCAGTGCTCACTTGACCACATCTGAGGTCACGGGAGCGCAGTGTCCCTGCGTCCCGTTTGTGAGAAAGGTCACGGCTGCTCTCAGCGGGTCATTCATTCTGTCTCTGCAAGTTTCCGGCTGCCTCCCCTTTCATGTTGCTTCACGATGCATTTTCCTGGTGTCTCTTTTCTTGTTTACTCGCCAGGATAGATATGATTGTGGGCCCCCCACCCCCTTCAACTCCCCGGCACAAGAAGTACCCCACCAAAGGACCCACGGCCCCTCCGAGAGAGTCACCCCAGTACTCACCTAGGTCAGGACACCTCCCACTTGTCTCTGTGGAATGGCCAGCCCCCTTCGCTCCAGCCACATGACGGCAGCACCCGCTCTGCTCGACGGGACGGAGGGGCTGCTTCTCTGTCCCTGACAAAACGACGTCCTCTGCAGGCCCTGGCGGGCTGGGTTGGGGTGCCCTTGAGCTGCTCCTCTTGGCGGGGTCCTGGGGAGGCTGTCCGGGGGGCTCCTTTCCACCGACCCCTGTGTGGCGTCCGCTGGGGGTGGGGGCTCCCTGGGCAGAAGAGGGTGGCAGCCCCCCAAGGATCAGGTGCGTTTAGACGTGGGGCCCTGCCCCAGCACCGCCTCAGACCCCTGCCACCACCTGCCGGTGGGTCGACCTGGGCTGCTGTGCGGACTGAGCAGGTCCTGGCGGGAGCCCAGCTCCCGGGGAGTCCCCAGAGCTTTGGGGGCTCTATTTCCGGTTTTCACCGTGGTCAGAGTTGTTGAAGAAGACGGTCCCAGCCAATGGGCAGAGTGGGGGGCAGGCAGTGAGGGGGCGAGTCAGCAGAAGCAGGCTCGTTGGTGATGAATTCAGACTTGGGAGCCTTCCTGCTCCCCCGGAGCATGGAAATGATGGCCACGACCCACCCCCCAGCAGGTCTGGGAGAGCAGAGCCCAGGGCAAGGATGTGGGGTGAGGGCGGACACGCCCGCCGAGTAGGCAGAGGGGCCCAGGGGCGTCCTGGAGGCCGGCAGGGATGCTGGCAGCTGGGCCGTTGGAGTGACTGGGGGCGCCCGACCCTCGTGTGCCCAGGTTTCTGTGCGTGAGGCCAAGGGTCAGTGTGCGCTGGGCGTCTCAGCCTGGCGGCTCTCCCATGAGAAAGGAATTTCCTGGGGAGCAGGCCTGACCCCGGGCAGCCCAGACAGTGTTTGCCGCGTCCCCCGCTCTGTCCGTGTCCTCCAGCCCCGAGGAAGCTGTACCTGAGACAAGCCCACCCTCCTGGGCGTTGCTGCAGGGCACAGGGGCTGGGCGTTCACAGCCACGGGCTGGGAGGGCCCCGCAGGCCTCCCGGACCACTGCAGCCAGATGCCCACAGAGGAGCCAGAAGGACGGGTGAAGCCCGAGGCCCAGGGGAGGGGGGGGCACAGGCTCCACGGAAGACCCACCGGGGGCAGCTCCAGGCTGACCTGGACCAAGGCTCCCAGGGGAGAGGCCGGGAGGGCGGCCCGTCATGTGGCAGGGGCGAAGGCGCTGAGCGCCCGTGCCTGGACTGTGTGGACGCCTGGAGCACCAGACACCCCTCCTCCTGCTCTGTCCCCACTGGCGTCTGCTGGGAGCCGAGGGCCCCACGCCCGCCCTGCCACCGCATGATCGAGCATGACGCCCCGCGGCCGACGCGAAGCCTGACCCCCTCCTGCTTTCCGTGACAGCAAGGACAGAGCACCCTGAGCCCCGACAGGCAGTTAGGGCGGCGCTGTGGGTGAGGACGGCGGCCGAGCAGGCCGGCAGCTCCCGTGACGCTGCTTGCGGGGTAGGAGCTGGCACCCCTCCCCACTCGGGAGCTTGGGTGGCGCACTTCGCGCTTGAGGCTCCAGAGAAGCGGCGGGGCTGTGCGGCCTGTGCCTGGGTGGCTGTCCCGCCCAGCTGCACCCTGGCCCTGGTGCATTTGCCCAGCGTCCACGTGGCTGCACTTCTGGGGCTCAGGGTGTTGGGCGCCCACCCTGCCACTCCCAAGGTCCCTTCTGAGCCCCTCAGTGGCCCTTCCCGTTCAGCACAGGGGACAGGGGACGCCGCATGGGTCAAGCAGAAGGCCTCCGCCCTGAAGGAGGCCTCCTTCCCCTCTTGTTGGCATTCGTGACTGATGGCCTCGTTTGAGGTCACCTCAGCTGCGTTCTGCTTCTCCCACGTGCGTGCGCACACACAGGCCCACGCACTCTCACACAAGTGCATGCACAGGCATGCATGGTAAGCACACACGTGCGCACGCGCGAGCACGCACGGACCCCCGCTCTGGTTGCCAGTGGCTCTGTCTGTCCCCTCCTCTGGTTGTGCGTTGGTGGTTTCCTGTGTTGGTCTGTGTCCCCTCCCCCGTCCGGCGCATGGCGCGAAGTCCTCACGCCCCCCTGCTTCTGTGGTTCCCGCTGCAGACGTTTAACTCCATCCCCTCCAGACCCCGGGTGGGCAGGGGCCTCGGCGGCACGTTATCCAGGAGCAGAGCTCGGGGGTGGGGGCGGGGGAGCCGAGGGGTGCTTGGCCCCAACTCCCTTCTCTTTACCCCTTGCTAATGTGCCAGCCCCACTGGAATGGAACGGTCGGGGACAGGCCCCGAGGGCAGCGGAGGGCAGGACGAGGGCCAGGCGCCCGGGCTCCATCTGTCCTGCTTCCTCGCTGCCCCCGGTCGGCTCTGGATTCAGCCCGGAGCCTGGATCTGGTGGCTGCGACCTGGCCCAGGAGGAGAGGGCCACGGGCTCCACTGCTCCCACCTGAACTCATGCTGGGGACGGGGTCTCTTCCCGGCAGAGTGGACCAGATCGTGGGGCGAGGCCCGGCCATAGCGGACAAAGACCGAGGCAAGGGCCCGGCTGAGGCAGAGCTGCCCGAGGACCCCAGCATGATGGGACGGCTGGGGAAGGTGGAGAAGCAGGTGGGAGCGTCTGGGGGTCCTGGGGTGTCGGCATGGACCCTGCGGGGGAGAGCTCAAGCTTTGGGGGGAGGGAGGGCTGCTGTGTTTGGACCCTGGGCCCCCAGGAGCACCCCCCGGGCCTGGGGCGCTTCCCTGACGGGGGCTGAGGAAAGGAATGGCCAGTTCTTACCCGCTGTAGAGTTTGCTCTGAGGGGTGAACCCACAGCGGACACAGGGCGGGCCAGACAAGCAGGAGGGTCCGTGTTTGAAGTCCTGAGGCCACACACTGACAGGTGGGGTCAGAGGCTGAGCTGCTGTGGGGAGTCTGCCCTCCATTGCCTCTGCACCTCTGTGGGAAACATCCTGGGCCGCCCCCCTTCTGGGGAGCAGCCCAGTTTCCCCCCACCCCCGGGGAGCAGCCCAGTTTCTCCCCCCCGGGAGCAGCCCAGTTCCCCCCCTTCTGGGGAGCAGCCCAGTTCCCCCCCTCTGGGGAGCAGCCCAGTTCCCCCCCCTCCGGAGAGCAGCCCAGTTTCCCGCCCCCGGGGAGCAGCATGGGCCCCCGCCCCGGGGGGCAGCCCAGCATGGCCTAGCAGCCCCTCCTGCAGGTCCTGTCCATGGAGAAGAAGCTGGATTTCCTGGTGAACATCTACACGCAGCGCATGGGCGTCCCCCCGACGGAGACTGAGGCCTACTTCGGGGCCAAGGAGCCGGAGCCGGCGCCGCCATACCACAGCCCCGAGGACAGCCGGGACCACGGCGGCAGGAACGGCTGCATCATCAAGCTCATCCGCTCCACCAGCTCCATGGGCCAGAAGAACTTCTCGGCGCCCCCCGCCGCGCCCCCCGCCCAGTGCCCGCCCTCCACCTCGTGGCAGCAGCAGTGCCACCCGCGCCAGGGCCACGGCACCTCACCCGTGGGGGACCACGGCTCGCTGGTGCGCATCCCGCCGCCACCCGCCCACGAGCGGTCCCTGTCCGCCTACAGCGGGGGCCACCGGGCCAGCACGGAGCTCCTGAGGTCGGAGGACGGCCCGGCCTGCAGGCCCCACGAGGGCGCCCTGCGGGACAGCGACACGTCCATCTCCATCCCGTCCGTAGACCACGAGGAGCTGGAACGCTCCTTCAGCGGCTTCAGCATCTCCCAGTCCAAGGAGAACCTGGACGCCCTCAACAGCTGCTACGCCGCCGCCGCCGCGCCGTGCGCCAAAGTCAGGCCCTACATTGCGGAGGGCGAGTCGGACACGGACTCGGACCTCTGCACCCCGTGCGGGCCCCCGCCGCGCTCTGCCACGGGCGAGGGCCCCTTCGGCGATGTGGGCTGGGCCGGGCCACGGAAGTGAGGCCGCCCGCCGGCCTGCCCCTGACTCCTGGCCTCCCGGGCTCGAGGCGGACCCTCCGGGGCCCTTTGCTTAGGGTAGCGCAGCGCGGGTGCCCGTGTGGGGTGCCGGGCAGACGCGGCCCTTGGTCTCGCACTGGAGGTCGGCAGAAATTCTTCTCCAGCGAGGGGCAGCCCGGCTGGCCGTGCCCACTCTGCAGACTCTGCAGACTGTTGGCCTGGGCGTGACAGAGGCCGGGGTCAAGGCTGAGGACGGGCCCCTGGCGGCTGGGTCGAGGCGTGGGCTGGGAGCGGGGCCGGGTGAGGGTGGCAGCGAGGGGCAGGCCTGTCTTGTGAGGATCAGTGGCCTTGAGGCCTGGGTGGGCGGTGGCTGGCCCCTCGGGCATGGCTTGTCTCCACCCCCCCTTCCTGTCCTGCCCCATCTGTCTTGGGTGCCCACCCAGAGCTTCTGGTCAGTGTCGCCCTCCTTCCTGTGGGTTCTGAGTGTCCTGTGATGGGAGCCGGCCCCAAGTCCAGTACCCTGGCCTGCAGGGGGCAGGGGGGCGAGGCTTGGGACCACCCCAGAGCAGAGCAACCCTCAGACCTCCCGAACCTGGCTCTTGTGGGGAGGGGCCCGCTCCACAGGCTCCTGGAAGGGGGCTCTTGGGGGCTCCCTTCTGGATGTGGAAGATGGCGGGTGTGCCCCCGTGTCCTCTCCCCTCTGCCCTGGCCGGGTGCTGGTCACCAGGCTGTGGCCAGCACTGCTATATGGACCTGCCTGTGGGGAGAGGTGCTGGGAGGCTGGGGCACTGCCCCACACTGGGCTTGTGCTCTGGGGTCCTGGGCCGGGCTGGTCATGGTGAGCAGATGTGCATGCTGTCCTCCCCTGGGGACCCTGCCTTGCCTGTCTCCCATCAGCCCCTGACGGGGCCCGGGCTGGACAGTGCCGCAGCCGTCGGGGAAATCTTCAGTAGGGCGACCCCCGCCGTCCAGAGGCCAAGGCAGCTCTGTCTTGTAGGCGTCTCTCCTGTCCCCGCGGAGCTGACCGTCCCCCACCTGCTCTCCTCCACTCACCGGCCCCTTGGCTGTGACCTCTTGCTGTCTTGGAGTCAGAGCTGCCTATCCCCACCCTGTATCCTGGAAAGCAGTGGCCCCCGTCATTCCTATCCCGGGCACCTGGGTCTGTATCCTGAGAAGCAGTGGCCCCCGTCATTCCTATCCCGGGCACCTGGGTCTGTATCCTGGGAAGCAGTGGCCCCCGTCATTCCTATCCTGGGCACCTGGGTCTGTGGGGCAGCAGCTCTGAGCTGGGATTCCAGCCCCAGGAGGCGGAGTGGACCCTGTCCTGGGCCCCCAGCTGTCAGTGCGCGGGGGCCTCTTGCATTTGGGGTGACACACGGTTCAGGGAGAGCCTCGCTGTCTCCTCAGGGTGCTTGTGTCCGTCCTGGTCAGTGAGGGAATCCGCTTGCTCTCTGGGAAGGACTTTGAAAGCAACATCACGTGCCCCTGGCTGTCAGGGTCCTGACGCTCTGAGATCTCTGGGGAGCAGTGTCTGCAGTAGCCTCTGTGCATGGCCCCCGCCCTCGCCAGGACACCCAGGGTCCCACCTGTGTGCACCTCTCTGCTAGGGCTGCTGGCCAGGCGGCTGGAGGGCGGGCTGGGCCTAGTGCAGGAGGATCCAGGCTCGGAGTCGGAAACCGTGGTGTGCGCTCAGGGCCGCAGCACGAGGATACCCCTCTCTTCCAGCCTCCCGGGAGGGGTTGGTCGTGGAACCTTCCATGTGGCCCCACCGGCCCCCTCCGCCCGGCGTGTCTGCTCCGTGCCCCCTCTCTTGTTCTCGAAGGCAGTGTTTCTCCACCTCAGACCCTCAGTGGTGAGAAAAGCCCCTCCCAGTGTGGTACTTGGTGTGGCTGGTGTGAAGGGGCCCCGGCGAGTGGCCGCTCCTCTGCGTGAGGTCTGAGCCCACCTTCGCCCTCCTGCCGTGGGAGAGGGAGGCCCCAGCTGCAGGCCCCTGGGCCAAGCACGTGCACATCCTGCCCAGCCCAGCCCCTGCTCTCTGGCCCTGGGAGAGTCAGGTCAGGCCGCCAGCAGCACGGACCCTCCCCTGTCGGATCTCGGTGGCCGTGGGTGCTCGGCCCTACTGGGAGGGGCCCTTGGCCACTGGAGAGAGTTTTGTGTCCTGTCCCACACGCTCCCTGTGCCGTGGGCCCCTGGTGACGGGAGGTGCCGGCCCAGACATACCTCTTGTCCCCAGAGCTGCTGAGCCGGACGCAGGCCCCAAGGCCACTGCTGGGAGGGTCTCCGAGGTTGCAGCAGGAGGGGTTGAGGCTAGACTGTCAGACGTGCTGCACTTAGCAAGGGGGCTAAGCCAGCAAGGGGGCTGTGGCGTCTCCTCTGTGAAGTCGCGGCCCCTCGGAAGACAGGAGACCCATGTCTCCGCTTGAGGGACGGTTTGGGGGGGCAGTTTTGGGAGATGATGGAGTAGAGGCTCCTTCTCAGGGGCCCCCAGACCCCGGCCCAAACAGTGCGTGATCCTCCCAGCGTCCATCCACTGCCCCGGGGTCCCCACCTTCAAGAAGTGTAGAAGGAAAGAAGCCGGGCGCTTTGGGAAGTCGGCGTGCTTGGGCGCGCGTGTGACTGCCGAGGACCCGCCCTGCTCCTCAGCAGGTGTGGCGAACGTTTCCCAGGACAAGCATTTTAGTTACTAGAGCACGCGCCGCCCCCCAGCCCCTGACACACGCCTGTGAACGTGCAGCACACACGCACGCACACATACCGCACATGCTGGCGCAGAGTCATGCACATGCATTCTCACCCCCCCGCCGCACGTGCACACCCCATGCACGCACGCTCACACACCCATGGGCGCACGCTCACATCCCCCCACGCACGCACTCACACACACCCACGTGCACGCACACACCCCACACCCACGTGCGCACACATCCACCCACACACCCACGTGTGCACACTCACACACCCACGCACGCCCACTCACACATCCACGTGCGCACATACCCCCACACGCGCACACACGCACGCTCACCCCCCCACGCACGCTCACACACCCACGTTTGCAGACACGTCGTCTGGCTCTGTGGCTCTGCCTGCTTTAAGCAGAGGAATTAACGACTCTGGAGTTGCAGACAGTCCTGGGACGTTGATCCCTGGGTCGCGGTTCCAGCTGTCCCAGGCCTCCGGGCAGCACCGGACACGGTCCATTCGAGCCCATCCAGGTCCCCCCGCCCCCCCCCTCAGCTGCCCTGGAGGCCGTCCAGGACGTCGGGTCAGCCAGAGACCAAGAGGTCCTGGCGTCCGCGGGCGTCCAGCTGTGACGCGGGGGCTCTGGCGCCTCCGTCTGCCCTCCTCAGCCATGTGGCCCGGCCCCGGCCCCCTCTCCTTTCTCTGGCCCAACACCCCCTTCTTCTGTCTGCGTGACAGCGTGAGCTGTGGCTGTCCTGGAGGATGGAGGGACCTCAGCCAGGTGGCAGGGAGCTCCCTTCCGGGCCTGCCTGCCCGGCCCTTCCCCGTGGGAGACCACAGCGGCCCCACCTTCCTTTGGAGGTACTTGCCTGTGAGTCCGCATCACGAGGGCCCCCCGGTGGGCCTGTAATCGCCACGTGCAGCCCAGAGCAGAGGCACCGGCCAGGCGGCCGCTCACGGCTTTCACAGGTTGGTTGGTTTTAACTTCTCCATTCCCTGGGCCTGTCCCCCGGTGGCCACTGATCTGAGACGTAAACACGGGAGAGACGGGGGAAGCGTCCTGTTTTCTTCTGCTCCCCGCCCCGTGAGGCAGACGCCCCCGTCCATGCTGTTTGTGGACAGAACGAGGCCCTGGGACATCTCTGGATGCTTCCGAAGGCCTGAAGGGTGGGGCTGCGGGGAGGCCTTTGTAGGAAGCTTGTTTGTACTATTTCACACTCGCCCCAAACGTAAAGAAGGTGCTGAGCGCTCGCGGAGGCATCTGGCCTGGATTTCCCGCTGCGAAGTCAAGATCGGATCCGCCCCCCACGTCAGACCCTTGAATAAGCAAGGTGTGAAGAGGGCTGGTTTGGCGGTGAGGACCCACCTGGAGGGTTTGGTGCACCTGCACCCAGGGAGTTCTGCACAGCAGGAGGGGCTTCGTGACCCCGTAACCCCCAGTGCACACTGGTTCCCGATCAAACACTCCCTCCCTGGCCGGCGCTGTCCTGCGTGGTCCTCAGCTGCCCTCAGCAGTGGTGTGGACAGCCCTGCTCTCTGAGACCCCTGAGCAGACCTCCAGGCCGCCTGCTTGGATACACGGACGTTCGGTGTGGGGCAGGGGGGCTGGGCTGCCTGCTTGTGGTGCCCAGGGGAGCCTGCGTGGCTGTCCCAGGACAGCTGCCTCCTGCGTTCCCGCCCCCAGGGGCGGGCTCCACTAGGGCCGCTTGCCACCAAGTGCCAAGTGGGAGAGACAACTAGGGAGAGCTTCCTGAAGGAGGCGGAGTGCTGGGATCAGGGGCTCATGCCTGCCTTCTCTCCAAGGGATCTGGGAGAGCTGCTACCCAGGCCCGGACACTGTAGCCCCTGGAACCTGCCCCCCCTGAGTGGGTCCCACAGTTGGCTGGATTCTGCTGTCTTGTAAGGGGTGGGGGCTGGCGGCAGACACCAGAGGAGGGGATGCTGGGGAGAGGGGAGCTTAGGAAGCCGGTAGAGAGCATGAGAAAGAGATGCCCTCTGGGTCGGAGGAGGAGTTGGGTGGTCTCTTGTCTTGGACACTTGCATGGGTGCCCCCGCCCGACAGAGGTGTGGCTGGATGGCCCTGTCCAGAGACACCCTCGGGACGGGCAGATCAGGTGCCAGGAGAGGAGGGGACCCTCATGGGGGGTTGTCCTCCGTCCTGGGGTTTCCAGGTGGGCGAGCGGACTTTGCCAAATGCCGCACGTGCAGCTCTGACTGGGTTTCATAAAGTTGTTGCCTTAATGCACGTTGATGAAAATTCACCAGGGTCACCCCCTGCCCCCTTGGCGTCCTCCAGGCACCGACACAGAACCCCGCTGCCTGTCTCCATTCAGGATCTGCAGGACCATGTCCATAGCTAGCGCAGCGTGGGCAGCGGGCCTCACGGCATCACTCCTGCAGGGGCCCAGCC